TAAAAGAAACGGTGTGTATAGTTGGTCGGGGGTTCAATTGAACCAACTTTCAGTTGTTTAATTCACCGTTACGGAGTAAGCATTCTTAAAAGAATTGCTGGAAAAAAATAATAAATAATAATAAAAAATAATAATAAAGAGCAAAAAAAAGAAAAAAAAAACACACGATATCATTTGGGATTCGAACCGTGACCTCTTGATCAGTAAGCCTGTGTTTTAACTACTAGGCCACGATGTCAAACTTAAGACAAGCGTGGCTAAGACTGGATTTATTTCGCCGTCACTCGCCGTGCTTATCAACACAGCCRAAGTATTAAGTAGTAAGATTGTAACGAAACAATTTCATAAATCGTTTACTTAAAATTGTAATTGTTAAAGTAATTATAATTTGATTCATCGTACATCTATCGTTCTGTATCAATCTCCGAGTTATGCTGCCATTGGCTGCTTGATTGCTTACAAGTGAAGCATATTAATAACCAAAGCAAAATTGTCATAGCCGCAATCAAACTATTTTTATACTTTCGTGTGAATTTAATTCCGTAATTTAAGTTCGAAGCGCTCCACTCGAAACACTCTAGAGTCTCAAGTAAAGAGTGAAAGCGAGTGGCATTGTTTTCGCTGCCTCATTAACTGTCATTGTTTCACTCTATACTCGAAACTTGTGGTCCGTATCCAGTTCGATTACTCGAAAGCGGATGGTACTTTACTCGAGACCGGTACTGTACATAAAGTCAAACTGTTAAACGCAAACTCAATTGATTTTCACTTTGTGCTATTAGTAATGATATAAATGATTTCAAATCATTCAACATCGTCTGGATTCTGCTGATCAGACAAGGATCTTCTATATTGCTTAAGCTTGTCGAGGCACTTCTGGTTTAAGCTAATCCTTATCTCTGTCCACATTTTTTCGAATATCTTCTGACCATACTTGATCTTGATACACTCTATAAGGCAATAAGATACTTTAGCATAAATTGATTTTGATAGTTGAAAAGTCTTCTTTCATGAAAAGATACGCTTATGTGCAAGCAAGTCTTTAGATTTACAAACATAAATATTATCATGACATAATATACCAAAAAATCAAAAACCACTCAACAACTCAAGTTTGAATGTTTTCTTTTGTATTGAATTATAACTTCTTTTCCGTAGACAATTTTTTCAATCATTATAAAGTTATAAATTGGATTACTTACTTTTGATTAAATTGACTTTCCCCTGGTCTAGGGCAATCTTTTTGCTTCCCCCATTGCGTGGCTCTACACATCCATTTCTCATTTCTTCATTGATGAATAATACACCAAGAAATGATGTTGCATACAGTTTGGGTTTCTTGGCTTTGCAACACACATCTAATAGCAAATTTGGTGC